TAGGTGGTCAAGTTGAGATCAACAACTTAGTGCATAATACTTATACACTAAGTTGTGGGGCATTTGTTTACACCTAAAAATTAATCTCATCCACTTCGATTAATTATAAAGGATTTCATGGATTTATAAGGCCAGCTCAACATTAATCATTAAATGAGCTATTTGGGCCTTATTAGGTTTTTGGGCCTAAGTGGCCAAGCCCCCTATCGTTGGCATAGCGGTTAGCTGCCGCCATAGCTGGACCCAAGCATGAAATTTGGCTAAGTATGGAATCTTATGGCAACAGGGGGCCATACGACAGGGTACCAAGTAGGAAAAATTTTGCTAAGTACCAAGCCCAAATCACCAAGAGGGTACCAAACCGGAAAGGCTGGCCAATACATTAAAATTGGCTAAATATGGAGACCCAATCACAAGGGGGGTCAAGCATGATGTCATGCAAAGGGGGTCAAGCGCCAAACATTGACACCCTTCAACATCGGCCACCCAAGTGGGTCCCCAACCATACTTAGCCAAATTTCGTCCCACCAACCGCCTACCTACCTCGCGTAACTACCTCTAAACGCTGCAAGGGAAGAAGGCAAAATTTGGCTAAGTGTTGAGACCCAACCACAAGGGGGTCCAAGCATGACATCATCCTAGGGGGGTCAAGCATGATGTCATGCAAGGGGGGTCAAGCGCTATGTCTTCTACCTACCTTGCGCTAGGGTATCAAGCATAATGTCGTGCAAGGAGAGCTATCACTAATACCCTTAGACAAGGGCAACGTGAATGCCTCTAGGACGTGGCGGCAAAGAGTGAAAATTTGGCTAAGTGTTGAGAGCCAACAACAAGGGGGGTCAAGCATGATGTCATGCAAAGGGGGTTAATCATGACATCGTCCAATGGGGTCAAACACCAAGAGTACTATGCGGCCTAGCTACCTTGTGCTAGGGTGTCAAGGATGGCGTCGTGGCTAAGTGTTGAGACCCAAACACAAGGGGGGTCAAGCATGATGTCATGCAAGGGAGTTCAAGCATGACATCATCCCAGAGGGGTCAAGCATGATGACGTGCAAGGGAGGTCAAGTACCATGGCCGCCTAACTACCCTTGCACTCTATTATCAATCATGATGTCATGCAAGGGGGGCCATCGAGAGTAACCCTAGACGTGATGGGGAAAGAAGGTGAAAGTTTGGCTAAGTGTTGAGACCCACCACAAGGGGGGTCAAGTATGACATCATCCCAAGGGGGTCAAGCATGATGTCATGCAAGGGGGTCAAGCACTAAACACCATGGCTACTATCAATCGTGTGCTTGGGTGTCAAACATGGTGTCGTGCAAGGACATCATCACAAGTAGCAGGCATGTTATGCCTAATGGGTAGTTATGTCAGCCATGTATATCATCAGGTGGTAGACCACCTTGTCAAGACCTCGCAAGCATGATGCCACCCAGGGGGCTCAAAGTGCATCCATCAGATACCCAAGCACCCTGATGTTGAGGGTGGTTAGCACGAGTACCAACAAGCGTGAAGCCCTCACTCACCAAGCAAGACACCTCGATTGCACAAGGGGCTAGCTATCAAATGAAGTCATCAAGGTATCAAGTGGCAAGCACGTAAGATAGTCAAGGTGTCAAGCAAGCTACATCAAGCACCAAGCAGAGGAGAAGCGGTTAACAAAGACGGTTACACGGCAGTTACAAGAGAAGGCTATAAATAGGAGAAACAAAAACAAAGCAAGGGTTCCACAACCAACCATTTGACACACTATGTCAAACTTTATCTTTTTCTCTACAAATTAGCCATAGCCTTAGTTTTCGGAGCTCTCACTGAACCTCCATAGGAGTAGGTGTAATTAACTTAGTTTGTTCCCAAAAACCATCAAAAACATCAAACACCCTCGTTCGAACATTGTTCGAAGAGGAGTGAACCGTGTTATTAATCATTGTTCAAGAAGTCAAGCTGCATTTATTGAGTTCAAACACCATATTTTCCTCGCCGGAAAACACATACATACCTTCCCAAAATACCCCTTTATCAAACCCACCCTTAAATTGACTTAAATGAGAACGAATGGAGATGTGAAAGGTTACTACGGTGCTAAACTAGTGGGTGGTTAGCATCCCATCCTATTCCTATCCCTGAGAAGCAAAACCATGCAGTCGGGGAGAGAGACTAAATGCAACAAAGTTCTGCAATGCTACTAATAAAACTTATACTTATCCAACTTTAAAATTGAGTAATGCTCCCCTGGTCTTTTGAATAAAACACACAGGAAAGTCACAATCACACAAGACAAAGGCAGAATTAAACACAACCTATATATCCTTGTTATACACAAACACAACCCAGGACTAGGACAATTATACTTGAAGCAAAAGAAAAGGATTGTAGTGCGTTTGATGTGAACTACAGTCATTACCAAAAAAAACCTATGGCAAGGGTTATTTTCATATGTAGCATGAGTTTTAACTCTTGGTACATGATGTAGACCGACCTTTGGCTGGACTCTTAGCAAAGCTGCTCCTGCTACATAGCAAGTGTTTTAGGACCCTTGGTGCATGTCCCCTGCAACGGTTATAGCAAGGGTTTAACCCCTTGCTACACTTGGTAAAATTAAGCCATATATACTAGTAGCAAGGGTCCAAGCCATTGAAAAATTCGATCCTAGAGCTAGAAAGGGTTCAAATCCTTGCTACTTGTATGTGAAGTTATGTAAAGAGGCGTTAGCAACATGGGTTGTAACCCTTGAGATATGTGTTGCTTAAACTTGCAAGGGTAAAAACCCTTGCTACACCGTATTATAACTACTAGATATGCCCGCTCGCTGCGTTCCGTGTAAATCGAGTAATGTGAAAAGTTACCTTTATGAATAGGAACATCTAAACATCAAATTAAGAATCAAGAAAACACATTTTGCAATAAGGTGAAGCAAACAATAAAAAATGGAATCGTTGGCCAATGGATAGGTAGCGATCGAGGAACAACAAATGCATAATCAAGTTTGTTAATAAAATTCTTAACCTAACATAGAGCTTTCATATCTTGAATCATAACAAAGATACAAATCATCCTCCAAGATATTGTTTACATGGCTAGATACTAATCACCATAAACATTCAAACATAACTGAAGTACAGGAGAGGTGGGCGACTGCGTAATCTTACGAGCCATGTTCAGTGCAACTCATGGTTGGTCCACTAGAACCTACAGTACTCCAACCAACACCAAAACACATTGAAAGAAGTCAAGAACACAATTAAGCAACCCATGGAGCCATCTTCTTTGTCTCCCTCTGTTCTCATAACATAATAATGGACGGCTAAAACAGGCACTTACGAAATGGTCGGCTCGAAGGATCCAATAGAAGTGAAGGTTCTAAAAGGATTTGACCACAATACAGAACAGTTCTCGTTGCTGTGAAGTTAGAAAGCTCTTTCCACCTGCAAGTCCATCATCAGAATTCAGAAAACAATACACAGTTAACCAATAATTGAAAACCCAATGAATGATGATGAAACCACTATTCATTTTAGCTTCTGAACCCATGCCTCTGTCCCTTTTGTTGCACAGATCACGTCCAGCTACAACCACGAAACAAATTCGTAACGTAGTATCATAATTTAAGGACAAGGGCAACTTATCCGCCGAATTTTAAACCGAACATCTCAAGATTAGCACGTTTTATGGGTTTTGAGTGTTAGCATCGTAACCGCGCTGCAAATATTCTATGGCGAGGAAGAAATAATAGTGAAAATGTCCGAAACTAGTGCTACCTTACCTGACCATTATATAGAGTCACGTTGACACCTTTAGCCAAAAGTTGATCTACCTACTAATTTAGAGAAATGAAAAAGGAATCAATCAAAATGACGATAATTTATATAATTGGTAAATTATAAATTATATATAATTAGCACAATACTTCATTAATCCCAGGGTTCATACTATTGAAAACATATCCCGACTGCTCTCCATCTGCAAATTCATTCCCCAATTCATCAGCACGTAATTAAGAATATGAAATACGAATTAAATTTATAATTCAATAGCTAGTTAATTATTTACTGGAGCTTTTCAGGGATGATCCCAAGCTTTTTAATGACACCATTCATTATGGTGTCAATGTCTACTCCATCTTCCCATCAAAAGGGCTTCAACATCGCCATCATCCGCTTCACCAAGATGAATCAAATAACTAATAACCGTGAAAACTAACAACCTGGCTAATTACTAAGTTATGAGAGAGTTTGCTTCTGCCCTCAACAACCTTAATAGGAAACCGTTAAGCGATTTTTCTGTTTCGGGTAACCGAAACCGATAACTCTCCTATCGGGTTCGTGTTCGGTTTTCAAAGGTTACGGGTTTTCGGGTATTTTGGGTTTCGGTTCGGTTACCCGAACCCGAACCGACCCCCCTAGTGATAAGTCCCCACAGTGTGAGTTCGCCCCATTCATCAAAAGGCACCGCCACTGCTACTAGAAGCACCACCATCGTGACTTTCAAGTTTAAGTACTACAATTATTCGTTCAAGTCAACTGAATCGTTTAGAATCCTTTAGACAAGAGACTGATTCAAAAGCATAAGGAGCTCGAATCTAGCACTACAATCCCTAAGATTGTATACTGAATGCAGCCACTGGCACTACAATCCCTAAGAAAGTCGAATATGTAACCTAACAGAGAAAGTCGAATCTAAAAGAGTGATAGAGCGATTGAAGGAGATAGCGAGGGAATTTATGACGATTTATCCTTGTTTGTAGATAAATAGATGAATAAGGAGTTAGACGTGTAAGGTTGTAAATGGTAATTAGCCAATACAGGACGTATAAGGAGGAAACAGACAAACAGTGTTGTAACGGATAGTAACGAGTAATAACAAACTACCTTTCCCTTCTTCCTTTCTCTCTCTTCTCTCTCCCCCTCTCTGATTCCCTCCCTTTTGCAACGTCTCTCTGTTCTTTCTCTCAGAATCCGCCATTTCTCCTCTTCTCCTTCACCGCGTGATCTTTTCTCAGCTAAGGTGTGACAAGGTGGTATCATAGGCTACACTCGACTTCAATGGCGGCCGCGACTCGTGCTGTTATCGAAGATCATCTTACCTCTGTTTGCAATCACACGGATTCCTTGGATACTCGTATTCAGGAGCTTGGCGCGAATTTGACTCTTCACATCAATAATTTGGAGCTTCAGGCCACCGATGCCCATGCTTGTCTGTTGGCAACAGAATCTCAGATCCATGATCTTTTGACGAAAGCTGATAGTCATTCACTCCAGTTTGCCACTATTACAACCAGAATCGACGGCATAGATCGCCGCTTTGATAACTTCGATCAGCGTTTCGATGAGGCGTTTCGGCAATTGGATTGTTCATCCTCTGCCAACAGTGGTTGTGGCTAATGTGGCGGGGCCGTTGGTTGAATGGCGCAACGACCAAGGCATTTTACCCCCTTCCAGAGCGACAAGAGCTGTGGCGGAGCAGATTCCGGCGCCGCAGGGCCAGATTCCGGTGAATCGAGTTGCAGATCTGGATGGAAATCATGTTCCTCCTCGCGGTAATTACAATAATCCTACTCCTCAGCTTCCTCGCTTAGATTTTCTGCATTTTAATGGCGACAATCCACGTTAATGGATTCGCAAGTGCGAAAAACTGTTCGAGATCTATGATGTTCCTATGGATCAGAGAGTCTGTATGGCGTCAATCTATTTCGATCCCCGAGCAGATATTTGGGTCGAAGGTTAGACTACTGGCCGTTGAATGCTTGATTGGAATGAATTTTTTGTTGCCTTGTGTGGCCGTTTCAGTGATTGGTCTTTAGGAGGAGTGGTCGGTGAATTTAACAAACTGTAATAGCGAGGTTCATTTCTGGAATATCAGGAACGCTTTAAGATTCCGGTGACTATTATACCCCGGGTCAAGTTCCGTCGTATCATCGATGAGGACTAAAAATGTGAACTATCGGTTCAAGCGGTATCGAATTTATGTCATTGAGAAAGTTACGGACATTAATAGAGTTTCGGATTAAACTCACCAGCAAGTGTGAATTTCCACAAATACCCTTGGACTAAGTAAAACCCTAGAGCCTTACCCTACTCGGCAACACCCAAACAAAATAGACCCTCGCAGCCCTTTTTCCACGAAAAGGCTTTCGGAAAATCGCAGCAAAGCGGCGACCAAGGGCAGAGAGCATCATCATCCCCTCTAGTATGAGAGGTGTTTTCTTAACCAAGCTCGTCTCATCGTTGCTATGTGGCAATGGAAGACTTGCTCTCGGGAAGAATCAAAAAACCGGTGCTACGAGAGCAGCTTGGTGGCGCGGTAAGCAGACAGGTTGGAGGCAATTTACAGGACGATGCTTCAATGGGCGAGAGCTGCCTGCTCCACCTCAAAGACCTGCTTGCTTGGAACAATGGCAGGATGAACCTCTCTACGCAGCTGCCTGTTAAAGCAAGCAGGAGGCGATTTGGAGAAAGCAACTTGCTCGGAAAGCTAGGGAGACAGGACATGATTATTCTATCTACTACGGGAGGTGCTAGCTTAAGCAGGCAGGAGGCTATGCTCTCTTGGGAAATTAAAATCAAAGCGGCGCCACCTACTCCTTCTAGTATGAGAGGTGCTAGCTTAAGCAAGCAGGAGGCTATTTCTCATCCGATCAAGGCGCGTCGTAATCACTCCCACAAGCAAGCAGGACCATTATTCAAGCAGGCAGGAGCCTGACTCAGCAGGTTGGCAATTCAACAGGAGATTGATAGGTGGAGGCCATTATTAAGCAGGCAGGAGGAGGTCATTATTAAGCAGGCAGGAGGAGGCACCTAGCCAAGCATGTGGTGTCGGCAAATTAGGGCAAAATCGCATAATCATGCCAGTTCCGACAGAAGTAAGGTGAGTGTAAAGGGGGTAAATTCTAGCCTTACGTATTCTTTTAAGTATTATGATTTTAAGTATTTTAGCGAATTGGTTACCATTGCTTGGTTATGTTTATGATTGATTATTTGTGCTTTGCTTGAGCTATGATTTGAGGTGATTTTGTGCTATTGGAGGTGATATGAGGTGATTTTATGCTATTTACCTTAAAGTGTTATGTTTGAGTTATTGTTAAAGTTCAAGAAACAAGTTCTTTTTAAGAATAACTCACCTTCAAGAAGGTGAAGTCGTTTTAAGTGTTTTTAGTCACTAGCGCCAGTCCGTTGCCAATTGAGATTTTCAGATAGAGCAGCAGTTATGCTCTTGAGATCTTTGAGACAGAGCAGCAGTTATGCTCTTGAGACTTTTAAGATGAGCAACAGTTATGCTCTTGATAATCGTGGTGAAGAGCCACCATGATAAGTTTAAGATGTTAGGGGGATGAATCGTTACGACTTCCCTAACTAAGTTTAAGTTTAAGGAAACCCTGGATGGCTTCTCATACGTATAAGTTGGCAACCAGACTAGCTAGTGAGGGATCCCCGTGTCAGTCAAGCATTGAAGTCAAGATTTGAGTTTTAAGAGAGGAGAGTAACTTCAACTCCCTCAAAGTTTAAGAGTTAAGATTTTAATATTGGAAGTACAAACAACTTCCACTAGTCAAAGTTAAGTGTTTAAGTAAATTACTCAAGTATTAGAATTATTAAAACGTAAGGTCGTAGACTAACCCCAACTCACTCACCAGGCCTTAGTAAGGGAATGAGCGAGAACCAGATCAGTAGCAACTAGCTAGAGGAGCAATTAGAGAGCAGCGAGTTCGAGAGGAAAAGTTCGAGACCAACCAGCTAGAGGAGGGCAGTGCAAGCGTCACGGAGGATGCCTAGTTAAGATTTTCAGTTGCAGCAACGACAGAGACTACCTAGTTATTTACATTTTATGATTATGAGTATAGACTGGAGAACAGATTGAGATTTAAAGTTTGAGTTTAATTTGCCCATGTGTTAGGGCTTTGCTCTGAACTACAAGTGTGTGTTTTCAGTATTTTATTTATGAAAATTTTTCCCGCTGCAATTTAAGATTTGAGCATTTTATTTATCAAGGGAATTTTAGTAAAAGTAGTACCTGGCCGGGTTAGGGTGTTTCATTTTGGTATCAGAGCCGGTCTTCTTCTGTTCCTTGGTCTCTATGGAATACTTGAATATCGATCTCAGTTTTAAAGGTTTTTGTTTTAAAGGAAAGGAAAACGAGTAAAGGATCTTCTTTTAAGAGTTTATAGAATCTCCAGTCTACTCTAATCATATTAAGGTGAATAACTATGACGGCACGGCATGAAGGGATGGTAGCCAGGGTGCGATTGTTTAAGAATAGGCTAGGAAGCGATTTTGTTAACATGTCGTGGTTTGTCAAATGAGAGATTTAGGCATATGGTGATAGCCAGTAAGAAAGAAAGGATGAAAGAAACGTGACCAACCCAAGTAGAATCTCGAAGGCTCTCAAGACCAAGTATCTCATCGACATGATGGATAGTAGTTTTTCAATCAGTTAACCAACTACTCGGACGTTGCAAACAGGTCATCATCATCAACCTAGAGAAGGAAGGAGGAATGTTGCAAAGGTCTGTGGAGGTAGAATCAAATGTGCGAGGACTTCCACTCCAAACACCAGGAAAGAGGTGCCAATTGCAAGGGAATACCTCAAGGATTTTGAAGGAGTTGAGAGAGTAGTACGAGGATTTTACTACTAGGAAACAAGTGGATGATCTAATAAGCTAAGACAAACAAAGGGGAGAAATATGAATCTCCAAAGGAAGAGGAACAATCACTAGATGTTAGTAGCTATAATGATGGGAGAATTTTAGGGTCCTTGACCCTAAGCAGTGGCGACTCAAGAAATAAAGAGGTACCACGAGAAGTCCCTCAACTAGTTTTAGTGGTCAACGCCATTACAGCACAGTGACAAGGAGCAGTGGAAAGCTTAAACTTCAAGAGAAGCTAGTGTAGTATAAATGAAGTAAAGGAGGAAGTAAGTAGGTTAGAGGGGGTCTGAAAGGACGTCAAAAGTCAATAGTTTAAGAAGGAGAGGAGGCATGGTCGTTTACATATGACGATGAAGGAACCCTTATAGATAAACCACGTAACTGGAGAAGAGGGTACATAACCCTGGAGAGTTAGGCCGATGACAAGCCTTTAGAAGGAATAAGACAAGCAACGAGATAAATGATGTAGAGGGAAAGTTATGGTCTCAGTACGACCACCATTGGACGAGACGTGGAGGAAAGTGCCACCAAAGTCTAAAGCATGCCTGGTAGAAGACAGTGGGGAGTCAATACATAAGAAAAGGCATGTAATGTGAGAGGGAATAACAGTTAGCTGGTAGATGGCAGTACGAATAGAGAACCACTTCTTAGAAGTGAGTGAGTTGGATACCAAGATAACACCGAGTTAGAAGAAGGATAGTAGAGACCCTACAAACTACCCAGGTCACAAAAGGTCAGGAGGATGTTGAGACCGTTGGAAGGGGTATGCAAGAGTTCACGATGATCTATTATGGGATTGTCCTCTCTTAAATAGAGGGAACACCCAGTCTCCTAGGGTACATGAGGGGTGACAGAAGGAGGAACCTCTCTACTAAGTTGGAACTAGAGGGCTAAGAGCTGAGGTCTCGGAACTAGCTATAGAGTAAGTCATTAAGCCAACCGAGTATAGACAAGTAAGTGGAATGTTCAATAAATGTTCTAGTGAATGGCAGAGAATTCGAGGAAACACATGGAAGTTCCGATGAAGGATTGAGAATATGTGTAGGTGACTCGTGTTCAAGAAAATGCATAGTGGAGTACGACGAGAAAAAGCATTACCAAGAAGGAGGAAATCATTAAGTTACCTTACCCAAGGTGCCCCACTCTGAGCGAGTACGACATAGTAGGATGTCATCCATGAAAGAAGGCCAGTTAAGGATAAATTAGTGATATTTAGTTAAGCCACTAAGAGCCATGACTAAGAGATTAAGGCTATGAACAAACATCGGTCGAGACAAAAGACGTGGATGAGGTATGTTCAAGCCTACCAAGGGTAAGCCACTATTGGAAGAGTTGACCCAAAACAACAACGAGAAGATACTCAACAGAGTTTGGTTACCGAAAATAGTACAAAGTATCAATAGAAGGGTAGTAAAAGTAAAGAAGCAAGGAGAACACCATAGAACGCTATAGGAAATAAAATAAAAATAAAAAAGGTGGTTGTCGACCGGACAATGAATGCGTGAAGGAAGATAGTTGGGACGTGGTCAAGCACCATCGTGAGTAGAAGTCGTGGGTGTCGTCTGTCAAGTCTACCTAGAGAAAGTTTCTAGTGGAAATGTTGGCTCTGAGGTATGGCGAGGAGCTACTAAACTGAGTAGATCAAAGCTAGTACCAAGCATCGATGAAGGAGTTGTGGAAGTAAGGAGGAAACCACAAGGCTATAATGAAAGTTAAGGTGAAAAGGGTGGTAGTTGATAAAACGACAAATTCAGGGAGAAAGATAGTTAGGAAGAGCCGGCGAAAGAATACGAAGGTCAACAAGGAGGCGTTAAGGTGATTGCCAGTGGAGAATAAGTTGGACCATAGAAAGCCCATCAAGAACTGAGAAGCTCAACGGTCAACTTTAAAGTAGAAGTGTTGTGATCCAGAACGGTCGAAGGGAAAACCTTATCTGTCAAGGTACATAAGTGAGAAGAGAATATGGGCACCAAGATGACTACATCGAGGACGAGGGACATATAGAACTAGCGAGAAACATCGGTAAGAGGAGTCACGAGTAAAGAAGTAAGATGGATATGAGTTTAGGGAACCTGCTAGGATACCCTAAAGTGAAAGCAATACCACCTATGAGGGTGAAATGTGGCGATCTCTCGGGTGAAAATTTCTTGGACGGGGAAACTGTACGAGGAATTTCAGGCAAGGTCAAAGAACAATAGAAGAGATCGTACATGAACTCCCAAGTCAAACGATGATAAGGAAGTGTTAAGTTAAGTGTTAGGAGTGAGCAAGTACGCAAAATGGAAGGTCATGATTCTGGAAATGATTCATAAAGTTGATCGCAAGCTAGAGAAAGACGCAAAGGATGCCTCTAATGTATACAAGAAGTAGAAACAGTAGTATGAGGTTCCAACACTAAGCAGCAGGTAACGAGGCGGTGACCATTCAGTTTATGGTTAAGGGATAAGACGAGGCATTGAGGAAGAAAGTAAGAGATGCAGAGGTAGGAGATACAAGGACCTAGGTGACCTATGAGGTCAACTCTGGACGATAGTTACGTTAAAGGAATTTTACCATCTGATGGGATAGAGGATAAGCCACCATATGTAACCCTAGGGTTCAAGAGGAGCATTAACATCCCGTATACCAAACAATGGATAGTTATCGTTCCTATATATGTACAAGCTGCAGTCGAGGTAATGTGAGGGGTTAAGAAGCCACAACAACATTGAAGTTGCAGGGAATGGAAAGAAGGATTTTAGGTCATGTCGTATAAGTTAAAAGGAAATAAAAATCCGCGAAGTGAAAAGGATTACCACAAGCGATGCTTAGGGTAATCACAGTGTACAAATTTTGAGGGCGAAATTTCTATAAGTGGGAAGGAAATGTGATACCTTGACTTCGATAGGTTCAACATCAAGTACTGGGCCCAAGTTGGAAAATTTTGAAAAGGGCAATGAGTCACTCAAACCTATTCGATGCTACCGAGCTAGATGAGAATACCTTTTGTTGTCAACAGTACATATAAGAACTATAGTAATCTATTCAAGACAAGGTAAGGGCACGCCATTGAAGTTCA